ATTACTGCCGAATTACCCACAGTATGAGTATTTTTGGAATCTTGGTGACTTGTAGGGTTCGGAAAAAGATGGCTGGGGCCATTTTGAAATTCAAGCTGGTGGCTTCCAGTTGGAGAAAAACTTGAAAATTCTGTCAAATACCCCTCAATATGGGTATTTTTAGATTTGGGGTGACGTATAGCGACCGGAAATCGATGTCTGAGGCCATTTTGAATTCAATCTGGTGGCTTCCGATAGAAGACAAACTTGGAAACACTATCAAATACACCACAATGTGAATGTTTTTGGAATCGGGTGACATGTAGGGTCCAGAAATCCATGTCTGATGCTATTTTGAAATTCAATATCGTGGCTTCCGGTTACAGAAAAATAGAAAAATACAGGCGGGTTTTCCGTCCATACACGTCACTCCAATTCCAAAAATACCCATATTGGATAGAATTTCCAAGTTTTTTGCTAACGGAAAGCCACGATATTGAATTCAAAATGTCGTCAGCCATGCATTTCCGGTCTCTACACATCACCACGATTGCAAAAATACCCATATTGAGGGGTATTTCATAGTATTTTTCAATTTTTCTGTAACTGGAAGCCACCATCTTGAATTTAAAAAAAGGCATTATTATCCGGTCCCTACACGTCCCCAAGATTCCTAAAATACTCATAATGTGGTGTATTTGACAATATCCCAGTTTTATTTAAACGGAAGCCGTTATCTTGGATATCAAAATGGCGCCAGGCATGGATTTCTGGTCGTCACCCCGATTTCAAAAATACGCCTAGATAAGGGGTATTTGACAGAATTTCAAATTCTTTCTCTAACTGGAAGCCGCCATCTTTAATTTTAAAATGGCCGCAGACATCGATTTTAGGTCCTTACACGTCAATCCGACTCTAAAAATACAAATATTGTGAGGTATTTGAGAGAATTTACAAGTTTTTCTCTTGCCGTAAGCAGCCATCTTGAATTTCAAAACGGCCTCAGACATCGATATCCGGTCCCTACACGTCATCAAGACTCCAAAAATACCCATAATGTGGATAATTTGGCAGTAGTTCCCAGCTTTTCTCTAACCGAAAGCTGGCATATGGAATTCAAAATGGTATCAGACATGGGTGTTCAGTCCTTACACTTCACCAAGATTCCAAAAATACACACATTGAGAGGAATTTGACTTAATTTTCAAGTTTTTCTCCAACCGGAAGCCGCCATGTTTAATTTTACAATGGCCGCAGACATCGATTTCCGGCCCTTACACGTAACCCCAACTCCAAAAATACCCGTATGGTGCGATATTTGAGAAAATTTCTAAGTTTTTCTTTAACCGGAAGCCACCATCTTGAATTCAAAATGGCTTCAGACATCGATTTCCGGTCCCTACACGTCATCAAGACTCCAAAAATAGTCATATGGAGAGGTATTTCACAGAATTTCCAAGTTTTTCTCGCACCGGAAGCCGCCATATTGAATTTCAAAATGGCGTCAGACATCGATTTAGGGTCCGTACACAGCACCCCGTCTCCAAAAATACCAATATGGTGAGGTATTTGACGGAATTCCCAAGTTTTCTCAAACCGAAAGCCACCATCTTGAATTTCAAAACGGCCTCAGACATCGATGTTCGGTTCCTACACGTCACCCCGATTCCAAAAATACCCATATTGTGGGTAATTTGGTAGTATTTCCAAGTTTTTCTCTAACCGGAAGCTGCCATCTTGCATTTCAAAAAGGCGTCAGACATGGTTTTTTGGTCCCTACACGCCAGAAAGATTTCAAAAATACCCAATATTGTGGGTAATTTGGCAGTATTGCCCAGTTTTTCTCTAACCGGAAGCCGCCATATTGAATTTCAAAATGGCTTCAGACATCGATTTAGGGTCCGTACACAGCACCTCGTCTCCAAAAATACCAATATGGTGAGGTATTTTGCAGTATTTCCAAGTTTTTCTCTAACCGGAAGCCACCATCTTAAATTTCAAAACGGCCTCGTGCATCGATGTCCGGTCCCTCCAAAAATACCAATATTGTGGGGTGTTTGACAGAATTTCCAAGTTTTCTTTTCCAACCAGAAGCCGCCATCTTGAATGTCAAAATGCCGTCAGACATCGATTTCCGGTCCTCAAACGTCACCCTGACTCCAAAAATACCCATATTGAGGAGTATTTGACAGAATTTACAAGTTTTTCTCGCACCGGCAGCAGCCATATTGAATTTCAAAAAGGCTTCAGACATCGATTTCCAGTCCCTACACGTCACCAAGATTCCAAAAATACCCATATTGTTGGTAATTTTGCAGTACTTCCCAGCTTTTCTCTAACCAGAAGCCGCCATATTGTAATAAAAATAAAGTCAGGCATTGATTTCCGGTTCCCGTACGTCACCCAGATACCAAAAATTACCCATATTGTGCGGTATTCGACAAAATTTTCCAATAATCGCAAAAATAAATTGCAAATGATGTTTTTTTACGTCTGTTTCGATTTACGAACCGCCGGTGTGGTTCGTAAATAGAGGAACTGGAACCTGGAACCTAATTAAAAAAAAAAACCACGAGTGGAAAAAAAAAATCTTCGTCCGCAATCGAAAACAATAAACAGCCAAAACTGAAAGGGCCTAGCTCAGGCCGAACATTTTCAATCCATTTAAATGATGTTTTTATGCATGATTTCGAACATGTGAACGCGGATTATGTTTAAGAAAATAATAAAATATTTTAATCTACCTTGTTTGACATGAAATACGACTCGAAACGCATGTTCATAGACGAGTGCACGGATGGATTTGACTTCACTCACTCGACAAAAAGTGACACAACAGCGGGGCCCTGTTTACTAAAAATGAACACATATGTTGTATTTTCCGAAAAATGCAGCTGCGCAAGAGGTAACCTCTACCTGTGGGTGTAAACTTGTTATGCATAATTTTCCATAAAAACATCTTCGATCCATACCGAAATAATAACAGTTAGTTTGCAAACAAGTTTTCTAACACGATTCAAGCAAAAGTTTCCACCGGAAATTATTAGTTTTTCTTTATGTACCGATTTGTCCCAAAAATCGTCTGTTTTACTTGGAGAATTTGGAAACTATCCTCCTTCTAGTAGTTCTTACTTCGAAATGTAGGTGGCGAAAGCTTGCAAAAGTTTCACTGCAAGACGCCAATTGTTAATTCTTCTGGTTTTATTGCGAATATTATTAAAATAACTGATGCAATTTTACTAACTTATCATGCCTCCACATTTTGTTATTGAGTAGTTCAACTTAAGTATTGACACATCTGCCTGCTTTTTTAAAAGGTATGATGTTATATTTTATTGTACTAATGATTAACATTATCCCGTTCTGGATCGTTCCTGTCCTGGAAATGAGATAATTTCCCACCCATGTATTTGTCTTCGGAAATTCCAAACGCCGAAAGACCAAACCAGGCATGGTAACAACTTATCATTGTGTCACTTATGATCATGTATGCTCATTATATATACATTACAATCGCAGATTTGCATTCCTCAAGTACCGTTCCGATTCAAATTTCGGACGATTCAAATTTCGGACACTTTCATTTTTAATTAAATAATACATCCAGTTAGAAACAAAGTAATAATGTTAGATGATCGTGGAGGGCACTAGTCAAAAAAATTTAAAATTTACATGACATGTGGATCATATTCGACCGAGATAATCAACTTTTAAAAGTGTCCGAAATTCGAGTTTAAGTGTCCGAAATTTGAATCGGCACGGTAGAATTGCACCAGTCGTTCGTTGGTCTTTCCCCAGCAATCAATCATCTACTTCAGAAATGCTGAAATCATTTGTCAAGTCAAACTAATTATATCAATCGATCAATCAACTCAGCGTAGAACCTCAAAGCTGCTGTCGATATTTCCCAGCATCACGCTTATCAAACCGTCGTCGTCTGTCTGGACATTCCCAGGCCAACCACATCGCGTGCTCCAGATGACGCGACTATTGTTGTTGATACTAATCGTTTCCGATTGACACCTTAATTCACGGCGGGTAGCGAGTACATAAGGACTGGGACCTCCCTGATGCTGAATTGGTAGCACGCAACCGCCGTTTCTTCGTCTGCCTGTCAAACATGCTAGGGCGTTGACCAAGCAGAACTGTCGACCCTAAACTAAAGAGTGAACCGCTGCTGCTTACTGCCGTTGAAGCGCACATCTTACCTTGAGGGACCTTGTTAAAATCATCGTCAGTCTCCCACTCTGCGCGATTCTTGTAATCTGATGACCTTGAACGTCATCAGCACCGTCGTTGTGTTCGTATTTAGCCACCCAGCTGCAAAAATCTGTCCAAAAGGAAGCACGCGCTCCATTGTAGGCAAACCATTTTTCCCAGATTTAATGTTCGTGATGGAATGTGTCACAAGGCGGAAGAAGTGACCCTCGTGAGCCGAGAGTGGTTGATTTTAGGATAGGAAAATTTGGACCCCATTCTGCTATTCGCACCATACATTGAGCAGGTTTGCAGCTGAAGTAACCGTTGAAGTCTCTGGTTGGCCGCATACGGAAATCCACTGCCTTTGGAAAATAAGGTAGTTGCATCACTACTGGATACCGAAGATGATCGAATGATTTATCCAACAATTAAGAAAATTGACTGTTCTATTTATGAATCGGCTGTCAACAATGTACACTGGACTTGCGGTGATGATTTATTAATTTGTCCAACAAGACTGCTCATTGCAACAGCCATCGAATTGGTAGTAGTGGTAGCGCCAGCTTCGAAGTGTTGCAATAATTAAAAGTTGCGTTGCATATTTATGACAACAGCAAGAGTAAACGACAGATAAAACCCAACCAGAAGAGAATGCCGCCAGTAGCAATGTCCAAAGGCAGAAGCAATTAAATTCCTGGGGTAGGTTGATAGCCGGTTGATTGTCATGATGGTTGTGCTGTTGGTGGTGTTAGTAGGTATCTGTGTACCAGAGAAGTGTTCTAATTCATAAGCGACAATATTGGGGAAGTGCGAAAAAAACGGCGCTTGATCTGACAAAACAGTTCAGTGTTTATCGCGCGGTTGACGAGACAAGTGATCTGCGAAAATAAAGTCCGTTTGATAAGATATATCGGTGATTGATCTGAGTGGCAAATGGTGGTGCAAAAGTGTTGTGGTAAGGTGTTGATCGTGCTAATTGTGAGCAGCTGGCTGAAGGCTGCGGGAGGAGACAATGCCTTCATCGATGATCCACCCGATGGATATTATAATCGGACTTCCTTGGATGGTAATTATTATTACTATTATTATTAGGAATATTTATAGGGGAAATGTCTCTAATGTTGACCTATGGATCTAAGATTGGGCCCATCGCTAAAAATCTGCTATTTATCAATTTTATCTAGAAGAACGCGTTATTGGGACGTTACTAATGGATATTTTTGGTTGCTATTGAAAATTTAGTCGATTGCTGAATTTATGTATGGGCCCAAATTAGGGACACTTAGGCCGACATTACCTGCATTTCCCCTACTATTCTTGAATTTTGAGAAAAAAAATTCCAATCCCAATTCGATCGATCTAGCGATTTTGTCTTTTGTTAATATCTCGGCTGGATTAATATTTCTTGGTGCATTTGATTTTGCTTTTGCTAACTGATACATCCTTCAACTACAGTGCATTGGAGAAATTTTGGAAAGAAATAGCTCACTTAATTGCAACAATGTGAAGAGAACCGATCATCGTAGTTAGCCCCTTATGATTCTGAACGTTACAGAAGAACTATGAGATAAAAGGGTTCACAACTAACATCATTAGCAGTTGATTAACTTATATTATGAATGTAAAAAGGTAGGAATGACTCGATCAGGCGATAAGGGGATAATAAAGCATTTCGTCACATTCAAAAAATCAGACCGACTGGTTGAAACCCCGCCGAGAAAAAGCAGTGGGTGCAACTCAGTGGGTAACGCGTTCTTCGGGGGATAGCTGTACATTTCGTTCAAGGATTTAGGAAACCCAAATTTAATAAGAGTCATTCGAGAGCCATTTGGAGGGGCTTATCAATTTCACTCAATAGAGGAAAAATCTACTTCGGCCTAATCGCCCATTCCCGCCCTATCGAGCACAACACATAAAATATATGAGGCTCACATTTTAACTGACTTGTAGCGTGGTCCCTTTCATGTCAATAAAATATAAGGATTCCCAAACATGATTTTGAATTTATAATTTGTTTTGCCATCTATTTTTTTTAATTCCAATACGCTCACGCTTACATAAATTAAATTGCAATCACTATTACAAAAATGGAACGTTTCGGAAATCCGCATAAAAACGAAACACTTGTATACAAGCTGCCTTCCCAAATTTATATCAAACCGCCACTGGAAACGTTCACTGTTTGTGAAACTCATTGTAAAGTTCAAGATTCGAATGCATTCTCTTTCGTAAAAAAAACAATGGAACTAGAAATAGATTGAACGAGACAGTTTAATAAAACGGTATGAGCGAGAAAGAGTTTCAACCGGCTTGCTGAGATTTGTCGTTTGAAAATGATCGTTAATTATTTCGGTAACGCTCCATTTATGTGCATCATAGTAACAGAAATTTACACGACTTTTTGGAACTGTGCACGTGTAAAAACATCAACACCCCCTCAACGTCGTCTGCAGTGTCGATCCATTTCGGAACGAGTTTCAGTACCAGCTTTGAGACCATCCATCGACTGGCAATCTCCGTATCATCATCGCCGCTCGCTGGATTTTGGGCGTTAGCAACAATACCACCACAAACCACCAGGTATTTGCTTTGCCGACCAATTCATCGGGCAGCTATTTCGTTATAGCTAGTAATACCTAGAACAAAATCCGCACACAGTAGAGAAACTAAAAAAGAAAGAAACACAAATATGAAAAACTAGGTTATAAAATTGAATAAACTTACTGAAATGGTCTACAGTAAAAGTTTTTCCGTTAAGTATTAAAATTTCATATGTAACTTTGGTTTCGAGAGTTCTAACATTACGCGTCGTTCTACATTTTGTTATTTCCGTTTCTTGTATCCAAGGTTAGACTGCCTGCCGGGAAATCAGTCTCTCCACTCACGTGTCTCGATCGGCGGGGATTTTTGAATTAGTGATGATACTTGTGAATGGTGTTTTTCGTGAGGAGATAGAAAAATCGGTAGCATCAACTATTCTCTTGTCACAATTGAGACGACCTCTTTTTGTGGAGAATCTGTTTCGTTCTCAATAAAGATTTTGGTTTTGATTAAGCAAACCCGCCCTGAGGTTGGGTTTCTAGCCAGGCAAACAAGACTCGACTCCTCCCTAGAGGTGGCGCTTAAGCTATCCATTTATCGAGCCAGGAAATGTTTCAGGAGAAGGAAATTCGTTATCCGCAATTTGTACGATACAGTCGCGATCGAGCCGAGTAACAGCCAATAATTTAATATTCATCATAATAAAAGACCAGCGTCTGTGTGTAACGCACCTAGCCAACCAAGCTCAGGATGGACAGCCACCCGTTATGGACAATTCTGTCGATTGGAATGGATAAAATAGTAAGCAGGGGAAATGGCCTAATGTTGGGACCATCGCTAAAAATCTGCTTTTAATCAATTTTATCTAGATGAATGGATATTTTTGGTCGCTATTGAAAATTTAGTCGGTTGCTGTATTTTTGCATTGGCCCAAATAATGAAACATGTTGTACCATATTAAAAATGTTGCATGGCATGAAAAATGTATTTTAGGTCAAGAAAAATGTTGCACAACATGGAAAATGTTGCGTTCCACCACACATTTGGCACAACATGAAACATGTTGTATGACATGAACAATTTTGCGCGACATGAAAAATGTTAAGTGGGATGATGTGGGATGAGTGGGATGAATGGGAGATGTTTATGTAGAGAAGATGGGGGTAAAATGCTAAGGAAGATCTCCGTTTAGTTAGCGTTAGCGTTAGCGTTGTTATGATATACTTCGTAGATTGGATACTAGCGACACTCACGTCTCTTCTGAAATTCTCAGCCTTACTACTTTCAGGAATAATGCTGGGGAGTAAACATTGGTTCCAATCTAAACAAGAGTAACAGAAGCATGACTGTCGCTGTTCCAGGCCACGCCCATCTTTACCATAACTAGGGATAGGGAAGGAAATGTTGATGTAGTACTTACTTAACGAGAGGGGGATAAAATGCTAAGGAAGATCTCCGCTTAATCCACAAAGTGAATCGATATTAAGGTGCAATATCATCTTAATGTGGTTTCAGGCTATTGGCAATATTGATTACAATTGATATGCTGAACAAAAATAAATTAATAAAATTGGTAACATTTACAGGCATACAAAAACCTGTTTTCGAAATACTGTGGGGTAAAATGCGCTAATTGATTTCACGCAAAGGAAGGATACATTTAGGCTTCTCTATGTCCTTACTCTATTGAGTTTAAATTGATCACATCCTTTAGAGCAACCATCATTGGAAAAAGTCATTCTGTACTCAATCTACATATTTAAATCTTTCAGGGATTGTTTGCTGGCAAGGAAACTTTATAAAAATTCAAATCATTATTAGCATTAAATAAATTCCTAAAACCTTACAGGGTGGTTACACTGGCACATTCTGCAGTGCAACCACCATTGGAAAATGTTCTTTAGGACTCGATCCACATATTTGAATCCTTCAGGGATACCAATTATGGGATGAAAACTTGGTTTCCCATGGAGACAACCCTTGCGGCGGTGAAGAACAATCCCTTTGTTTACGTTTTGCAAATGGGTACGTGAAACTATGGTTATCTGTCACCTTATTGGGGGCTTGAATTTGTTAGATGGTTTGATAGAGTTTTAATGGGCAAAAATAAGAGCAGATATATTATTCAACTTGCAACATTTCCAGCCTCGGACTCAGTGAGAAAACCTAATGATTTTCGATCACCTTATTAAGGTTTATAAAATGCCTCCTAAATATGTTCTTCCTGCAAAATAAAACAAAGTGTTTGTGCAAACGTCCACTACGTGTGGTACTACCCTACCAGCTGTGCATTGTATTGTGTCCTATACATTATCAATAAATAATAGTAGTTTCTCGCATGCCTCCGCCATGGCAGGACGGCCGAACAATCGGTGTGTTTTTATTTCTATTTCTTTTCGTATCAACACAACGTAGGGAAGTTCTGCCCGTGCGCGATCACAAAGTTTACACCTACATGTATGCAATCTACATGACATCAAGCATAAAGCATAATACTTACGTGATGGCTCATATTATTATTGTTTTCTCAGTTCTCAAGAAGTTAGCATTTTTATGACTTAAAGATATTTTGACATTTTTTTATCTATTCATTTATTTGGAAGGCTCAATAGTAATAGCTTTGCAGAGCCTGTAGCCGCCAAAAGTAGGCTAGCCAAAATCGGTTTACTAGGGCGTTCCGTAGATTGGTTTCTAAACAAATGGCCTAAGCGTAACCTGAACAGAGGACCACTTGGATGCCCGGCAAACTCAAACCCCAGGGCAAGTTCAGTTTATTGAAAAAGGTTGCAACGAACTAGTAGACGTAAAAAGCTTGAAATTCTATGAAAATACTAACTCTAACCGAATGGAACATTCCGGGAACATGCTATTTTTTCTATTTGATATCTCCCTTATCAGCGCCATTCGCTTGGCCTCTTCTTCGTACGCTTTCTGCTACTTCTCCGTATGGTTAATGGTACCAGTGTGTGTGTGTGTGTGTTTTTTTTTTTTTTGTACTACAACTAGACCATAATGGCATAGCGTAGATACTTTAAAGAGTTTTAAGATTTACTCACATTTTAAGAGTTGGTACACCCAATTTTGTCACATTGGCCACAAGGGTGCCCGTAACATCTCCAGAAGTGGCAATTGTAGTCATGGGCACTCACTTTGATTTTGTTGGTTTTGTTTTCAATGTATTGGCACAAGTTGGGTTTGACATGCTTCAGGTCGATTCTAGTCTCATAACCCATATTCATCTGAGCATGTTGTTGAAATTCAATTTTCATTTATAGTATAGATTCTATTCTTTTACTCGGGTTGTCTCTTTCACAACCATAAGCAGATTCAATGTTCTCTCATTAGAGCCATTTCGCTCTCGCTAGCTCAGGTCTCTATTAAGTGTTTCCGAAGCTGAATGAGCCTAGCGTAATCTGTCTATTAGTTATCGATAGATCAACTTGTTATCATATAATTAGTAGGGCAATCATAACATATCAATGTAACCTCATTCATTCTCTGCTTGAACGTCAAGCAGTTTAGTTC